ATAGATAATAAGGTATTTCGAGTTGTCGACGTTCACAGTGCCAAGCAGATTTCCACTAAAATTTTAGGGCTATATAGACATGTTCCTTCACACAAAATTCTAGCCAAGTTCGTTATAGTAAAGGTCAGGTAAGGTTGATTCATCAACCAAAGTTAAAATTTCAGACTTTACCAAATTTCACGCACACCAACAAATCCCCATTAGTTATCCAATAATTTGTAGAGAACTACAAGAACGCGCTGTAAGTAACTTGTCAAAACGATGCTAGATTTTTGTGCGTAATGGTAACTTGTCAAAACGATGCTAGATTTTTGTGCGTAATGGTTCTCTTTGTTCCATGGAGCGCATCTTAAACATATGGAATACAGAAAACGAAGTACATGGCCAGCTTTTGCACAATGCTCGACCCAAAATTATTGGGGAGGAAAGTAAACATAAACCGCCGAACTCATGGAACAGTGTCACCTTCAACAATCCTGCACTGTCCAATATAAGATGATGCAAAGGCACCAGAGAGAAGCAAAAACAGAAACAAGGTTTATTGGGCAGAACTCGAGGGCGTCAGCTCCGGAGTAACCTCCCGAGTAGCACCAATCATTGAATCGTGTTCCTCATCCTGGTGAGCAGACTTCTTGCGGAACAGCTTCTCAAATTCAGTCTTTTCAACAGGCTTGGCATTCTCAGCAGCATGGGCCTTTGCCAGAGTGGAATAGTTAGAAGCTGATTCTTTGATAAACGTAATCTCGTCATCAGTGAGCTTCCTCAGGAATTTGGCAGGGTTTCCTCCCCATACCTGAATCCAATATAACTAGTCAGCAAAGAACTCACTGAAATAAGACGATCAAACAAGAGCTACACAGCACATTCTTGTTGCGCCCATGCAGAAATGTCTAGGCATCTAAACCTACAAAATGTAACTGCTACCTAAATAGTGCAAAACAATGTATTTTCCACAAACTAGTTGAATCTTGGTACGCTAAACAGATGGTGATCATGTATTTGGTGTGCCTAATTGCAACAACAAATAGCCAATCAAGTGAAGCAAACTTTAGACGAGACCTGACTAACAATCAAAACTGAAAGTGAAGTAATAAAGAGAGTAATGCACAACCTCTCCACAGGGGATCCTTGTGTTCTGTCTTACAAGGGCTCCAGCAGCAACCATCCCATGCTTTTCCACGACAACACCATCTAACAGGGTCGCCCCCATACCAACAAATGCTTCGTCCTCAACAGTACATCCTTGTAATACAGCACTATGACCTGTGAAGTGGTATTTCAGAATGTATATGTCATCAGAACTTCACAATGATTGTTTTCATGAGTAACATCTTTGCAGGAAGATGTGCTCATGCCTATTCTTGTGCTAGGCAATGATAGAAACAGATCGTGACCATCTAAAATATGGAACCTAAATATTGCGAGAATATTGGATAAACAAATCATAAGAAGCACATGTGTAAGGCAAGAACCACGGATCATATTTACCTACTGTGACGTTATCCCCAATGATGGTTGGAAAGACTTTTCCACTAAGATTAGATTTTGCCACATGGACAAGAGAATTGTCTTGTATATTGGTCCCAGATCCAATTTGAACGTTGTTTGCATCCCCTGAAATTAAGTATGTCAAGATACTTGTTGACAACAAAAGTAACAACAATTGAAATACAGGATCATAGATAGATATTAAAAGCTTCAACAAATTATAGTATCATAGTTTAAAACGAGTGAATAAATTAGTTTGCATATCTCTGTTGTGCAGAGAATCTAACTCCATGGGCAAAAGTTGTCTTTATTGGCTGTACATGTCAAGACTGTTAATCTGTTATGTCTTAGTTTTCTTTGTAGGTATTGTAAGTATCACTGGGTAAACATGCCAGATAAGTAGCAATGTCACTTAAGTTAGCACTGGTAACAGAACCAGCTAGCTTGTTCTCGAGAGACAAATGCTGCATAGAGAAGACATGAGTTTGGGCAGTGATGAGAACATAAATCATCCCGTGTGATGGAAATATAGCTCTGTTAACACAATCAATGGCTTGTTTGTACAGAGAGGGGTCTAATATATAGTGACATATATCACTGCGATTTATCCACTTAATATTTTAAAAAATGTTAATGGTTTTCCCTTAGATAAACTGTAGTATTTCTTTTTGTCAGCCAAAAAAGGTAGCTGGGTCAAGATATTGCACAATTACTAACATACATTTAACACCAAAAACACCTAATACATTGCATAGAAGGCACATGGATACGTACATTTAACTGAAAGTATTATTTCAAATATAAATTTGCTACTGATAAACTAACTGCTATTCCTATGCCAACAGTTTGCTTGTTCACCTTACATCAACTGTTATGTATTCATGTGAACAATATAATTTGATTGTTTATAGTCAAAAACTCAAAAGAGATAATCTATAAATATATCTTGACAAAGTAAATAACATAGACTGATACCCTTGAACATTGACGAAAACATGACATCAATATTTTTTTGCATCCTAAATAATTTAGTTTGGCAAAGACAAACCAGAATACAGGAACAGTTCCACAGTACTTGTTACATGATTCTGCAAAATGATGCTAACTAAGATAAGAAAGCAAGAAGCACAAACCTCTTAAGACGCATCCATACCAAATTGAAGCTCCTTGTCCAACTTGAATATCACCAATGAGAGATGCACTTGGGGCAACAAATGCATCTCTGTGAACATGAGGGGTTTTGTCAAAGATGTTCATAAGTGTGCGATGCCTTGAGACTGTAATGCTCAAAAGGAAATCATATTAGCATTTCAATATGTTACTACAGAAGCAAACAGTTATCACTAATAACTTTGTTAGAATCCTAATGTTTCATATACTGTCTCATGCTCGTAGGCCCACTGGACTCCTTCCTATCTCATCCTGACTCTGTTTCTATAAGTATGTACTCACGCTTTGGTATCAATCTATAATGGCATTGAGTTATTCACGCCTTCAAAGTCAACCATGTGTAATACCGGTATTTGAATGACTGCTAATAGAAATGGCCTTTTAATCCCACTGGAATAGTATCATGATAATCTTATGGTAACAACCTCATGAATGTTACACAAAACTCATAAAGCGTAATGGCACACATCATACAATTTTAGGTCTTAATTTTGATAATTATACAGTTTGCAGAACACATGACATCCACAGATAGACAGAACCACCAAAATTAATATTATCAGCAATCAGGAAGGAGGCAATATTAAAATGCACAGCAAAAGCAGTAGCGTGAAGATGGTATGTACAGTCAAAACTGCGTGAGACTGTAAGGAACAAGTGACAGAAGCATAACAATTAGAATAGGTAAAATGCTACTAACATTTTTTTACTTACAAGGAGACATTTCAAGGGATCACTATAGAATGGCACAACCAACATGTTGATCTACTGAGTTTATAGTTGTAAAATCTTCCACCAGACTAAGACAAATTAACAACAAACAGAATACGACAGGGTCTCATAATATGCACATACGAGATTAAATATGATCAGGGAGTCAAACAGAAACTTAAAAAATCAGTTACATTTGAATCACTCTCAGAAATAGTAGTTTACACCAAGATGGTTTATGAAATTATAGTGCTTATTTTTAGGCTCAAACAATGCTTACATGGTACAGTAATACACAATTAAGAATCATATGAAAACATTGTTATCAAGCCAAATTCACCATTTATACTTTTTTGCTTCAATTGGGTATCTAAATGACTGTTTTAGGTTGGTTCTTCCATTTTCACTATGAATATAAGCCATCAAACACCAGTTTGTCACAAACATCAATAAACACTCACAACTACAGAGAATATAAAAAACAAATCATTATTTCTGCCCCATGTTAAGACAAGAGTTGCTCTGAACTCTCGAAACCCACCAGACCTCGTAAAATAAATCCTCACAAGCTAATAGGAACATGGTGGTTCTCAGCAGTGACAACAAAAACTTCAGCGATTAAACTCTCCTTCCAACCTCTTTCCGAGCACCAAATCATCACACGTAACCTTTAGCATCCTATTGAAATCATCCATGACAAAATTTAACATATCGCGGAGATTTTAACTTCTAGCTCTGGGGAACTAATCTCTTCTTTCAAAACCTTATACCCAGAGCATGATCAACAACAATATCTACGAATCTACTAATTCAGTTAACCCTCCATACTTCCAGCACCTATCGTGCATTGGACCTGTTCAAGTATCAGACAGCATCCACGAAACGATCTGTACACCAGGCAGCCTCTAGATTTCACAAACTACACTGAAACGAACATTGCAGGTCCATTTCAACTCAAACCAATGCACGATGATCTAACTGCGCAAAACCCTAGGACAGCCCAAGCCTGGCAGGGAACGTGTCCACAAACCACAACATTTCAGCGAATCGTCCCAAACCCTACCCACAGCAATCCCCCGATTCGCTCTCCCGTTTCCGGAGACACTCCAGGATCAAATCGACGCTACTCACAGAACCGCTATCGCGACGGGGGGAAGACCGGAGAGCGGATTGGAGGCACAGGGGCAGGGTTCTTACGCTGCTCGTGGAAGTAGTAGTTCCCCTGGAGGCGGCAGCCGAGGCGGTCGAGGGCCTGGCCGGTCTCCCGGATCCAGAACCCTACCGCGTAGAAGGCCTTCCCGAGGCCGGCCATCTCCTCCCCCACCCAGGCGGCGACGTCGGCGGCGGCGACGGCGGCGGCGCGCGGAATCGCGGGTGAATTTGCTGGCTCCCTGACCTTGCGAGATCTCGAGGAGTGGAGAGGAGAGGAGAGGAGGAGGGGATCGGGGACGACGAGGAGAGAGGCTGTGGAGTGGGGACACGGCCTCTCGCTGGGGTTTCCTCTACCACTCGAGCAATTGACCGTTTTGCCCCTCCCACTCTGGACAGCGACCCACTGGCCCATTTGCGGCCCAGTCAATATCCCGGCCCGCACTAATGTATGGGCCAGGATCTAGGCCCATCTAAACGAGGCCCACTGGTATGGTCCAGGAAGCCCACATCTCCTCCCTTTCTCTCTCCTGCAACTTTGCTCTGCTCCACTTCAGTGCTCCGTCGATCTCTCCTCCGCCGCCGGCAATGGCGTCTCCGCGGCGGCGCTCCCTGCCGCTGCCGCTCCTCCTCCTCGTCTTCCCGGTCTCCCTCTTCGTCGTCCTTCTCCTCCACCACCGCTCCTCGATCCCCGCGGCGGAGCTCCTCTCCGGCCCCGGGCCGGACCCGCGCCGCTTCTCCCTCCTCATCAAGGTCCTCGCCTACGACCGCCCGGGGCCGCTCCGCCGCTGCCTCCGCTCGCTCGCAGCGGCGGACTACGCCGGGGACCGCGTGGCGCTCCACGTCCTCGTCGACCACCCGCGCCCCAACGCATCCCTCGATGCGTCGCGCGAGATCCTCGCCGAGGCCGACGCCCTCCGGTGGCCGCACGGGGAGAAGCGCGTGCACTACCGCGCCGCCAACGCGGGGCTCCAGGCGCAGTGGATCGAGGCGTGGTGGCCCGGCTCCGACGACGAGTTCGCCTTCGTCGTCGAGGACGACCTCGAGGTGTCGCCGCTCTACTATCGGTTCCTCAAGCGGCTGGTCATGGCGTACTACTACGACCGCGAGAACTACAGCCCCTACGTGTTCGGCGCGTCGCTGCAGCGCCCCCGGTTTGTCGCAGGTGAGAGCTACTTTGAATGATTTGTATCTTGTAGGCTGTAATTCACTGCATATATTGTTAGGATTTGTAAGAATAGTGCAATGTGTAAGATAGAAATCGTGCTTTGGAGATCCTTGGAGCTCCCCCAGGTCGAAACTAGACGTCTGAACATCTAAAAGTTGATAGCCATTTTGGATCAGACCCTGAGTGCTGAAATTGGGAGCATCACATCAGCTAGTAGTAGAGAGTTTGAGAACAATTTAGTCGAGCGAGATTAAACTAGATGGCACCCTCCTAGTTTAATTGTTTGCTGCCTTCTCATGTATCGGTTATAAAAAATGGGTATGGACAACCTAACAGTTTCTTGTGGTGGTGATTGATGCATGCCTAAAGCTTGCCTTGAACTTGAAGCATTGGTACAATAATCTGTGAACAGTTTGAACCAATTATCTCCTATCTGCTAGGACTAGATTTAGTCTGGCAATGTTAATCGGTTTGTTTATATTGTCTATATCTGGGTTTCATATGGTTGAGATTGGTAATGGAGATGTGGTCGTGACCCCTAGTTGTACTTTGTGTAGTACCACTGCTGCTTCTGACTATATTTGATTTCTTGTAATCATGTCCATTCTCATTTACCAACAAGATCAGGGAAGCACTTTAGATGTAGTCTAGAATGAAATGGGGTTTCTAGGGACAAATAGTGGCAGCAATTTCAGAATAATCTAGCATAAGAAATTTTATGTTCATTACAATTTAAACATTTGGGTTGCGCTGGCTGTGGTCCTTGGACACAGAGCGATGCTAAATTAACCTTTAGTTGTGCTGAGCCATAATGAAATATGATGTTCGAGTACAAAATAATATGAGCTGGTGCTGCCATTCCAGACCATCATTCTGTTGTAGCATATTCTTTGGTAGATGAGTAAAGGTTGCACTCCTGGTGATATGCTTTTCATCTTGCTGTGTTGGTCAGGGCAGTATTCAGAAAGTGTGGCTAACCTGCCTTGGGGGCTCTTGTGCTGCTATTTTAGTGTCCTATTGTCTAATTTTATGTAGTATGCTTGCTAATTTCTTGGAGTTCACTGGTCAATTTCGTCGTAAACGATGTCTAGGCTCCCCAAGGCACTAGGTGTTGGCCCTATCATTCCTCTAAAGTCTAGCATCTTCTTGAACCATGTGTCAGGGAAGATATTGGAATGATAGGCTTCTGTAGATTGTACTTTATTTATTTCTTGTTGCAAAACAACCTCCACTCTCCTACATGTAGATACCAAAGACTTATAGTAATGTATCCTAACAAAGTATAAAATCTGTAAATAGAGCACCATATTACCTCTGAACCTGTAACTTGTTTTGTTGATGAAATATTTGTCTCATTAACTTCTAATGAGAATTTATGCATTCTTAACTAAAACAAATTATAACTTTTAACCGGTTCTGAACTCTTCGTTAAAAAGTTGAAGTTTCAAACTCTCAACCACAGAACCTTTCAACTAAGGATTTGAAAATCTACCTCCAATTTGGCAATTGGCATGACCACATGAGACTTCCAGTCCAAACTTTCAAAAAAGTATGGGGAAAAATGCAACTCTGATTCACCTGGACAATCTCATGCATTTAAATCTGTCATTTGGCAAAGTCACACAGTGGTCGATGGTGTCGTCTTGAATGGTACTGCTTGGGGTGAACGGTGAAGCCATTAGTCATTTGCTGTAACAGTGCAGTTTGTAGGTGACAATGGCATGTTGTGGCAGCCAAAATCAGGGTTTTAGTAAGATAGAACAAAGAGACCACCTGAGGAAGAAATATGATGTCTGGCAAGTCCCGCCAATGATGGGTTCGCATTGGCAGCTCCGGTGCTTGGGTAGGCTATGGCCTATGGAGACACTTGGCTGCAGCAACAATGAGGAGAGAAGAGAGAGTACATGATGCAAAAGCTTGCACAAAAGAAGGGGAAAAAGAATATGTGTATGGCTGGCTGTTCCATGTCTTGCATGATGTGAAATCCTGTGGTAGTTCAAGGGTTAATTGCTTGTCATAGCAATTGGTACCTGTAGATTGTAGATTAGCATTTTTAATTAACTTTCTTGTGTGAAATATAGTGTTGTCACACTTTAAGTTAAATTTGTAGTAATTATATTTTTTTCCTGTGATTTTTATCCTCCTATTTTTACAATCAAGTTACTAGGAACTCGAGTGGAATTTGCTAGTGAGCATAATTTATGGAAGCTTGGTGAGGATTATTGGGTTGGTATTTACATTAACTTTGATTCTTTGAACAAGATCCTTGCTGAATTGCCTTCATCCAAGCAATGGCTAAATTTTATTTTTGGTATCTACAGCATTCATGTTAATTAAATATTACTACTGCTGCTTGCAATATTCAATGTTAACCAGTTGAGCTTGAAATAAATAGGTAAACATGGAAACAAGATACAGCTGGATAGTGAAACTCACCTTTTCTTGTACCAGATGGTTGGTACCTGGGGCCAACTTCTCTTCCCAAAACCATGGAAAGAATTTCGATTATGGTATGATGAACACAAATCTAAAGGAATCAAACCTATTCTTGAAGGCATGGTAAGAAAACTACCGGATTACATAAGCAGTGTCATATTTTTAGTTTGTTATAGTGGAAAAAATATTATCTGTTGAATATGTTTTTATCTAGAATAACATCTGAAATCGACATGTTGTCAATTTCCATAATGTTTTATTCCACACTTATCGTTTGCAGAAAACTACAGGGTGGTATAAAAAGATGGGGGAGAGAATATGGACCCCTTGGTTCATTAAGTTTGTCCACTCCTGTGGATACTTCAACTTCTACACGAACTTCCTGAAGGAAAGGGCCCTCAGCGTCTCTCATAGGGATGCAGGTGTGAACTATGGAAGGAGTGTTGGACCAGATTCTACGTTGTTAGATGGGAAGAATCTGGATTTCAATCTATGGGAATTGCAGCCTCTAAACAAGCTAAAATGGTACGATTTCTGCTTTGCTGAAGTTCTTCCCGGAAGAGTCATTAGGAAATTCAGTGAACTTGGTTCTGTGCTCAAGTCGGTGCAATTAGAAAACAATGTTGTGCTGATAAGTCTATACTCACTAGAACAGAGAATTGCAAGAAACTTGATTTGCTATCTTGAGAAGTCAGGGATGCGGAACTACATTTTCCTTGTTGACAATACAGAATTTCTGGATGACCTTGCTCATAGAGGACATCCTGTCATTGATGCTATCAGTTTGCTCCAGAGCATCAAAATGAGTAGTTCTATATACTCAGATGACTTTGTTAAGGAAATAGTGGTCAAAGCTTATGTGATAAAAAATTGCTTGGACCTGGGCTACAATCTTTGGGTATTAAATGGGAATACAATTTCTCTTGGCAGTAAGTTAAATGAGCCATCAGATCAATCAGTTGATTTCTTTGCTGCAGAATCTGTAGATTTGATGTTTCTGAGGGGCTCACAGAGCTCTAAAAAAACTTGGAATGAACTTGATATATTGAGAATGGCTGATGGGATGATGTCTTCAAAAAGCGGCTTTTCTTCTTCTCTTGAGCATAAGAATTTTGTCCGCGTGCTCACTGGAGTGTTGGGAAACAATGGTGCTGTGAGGCTGGGAAAACTGGATGAAGAAATTATGGCTGTTGAATTAGGGCCTAACACCTCAAACAGATCATTGTCAGAAGGTCACTGTAAAGTCTTATTCTGGTCTCATAGTATGACTTCAGATTCAGTTCAAAGTCAACTTGAAAATAGAGGTTTATGGTTAATTGACTCAGATTCATCTTGTAGTGCTGTTGTTTGTGGCCAAAAACAGAAGTAATATTGTTTGTTGTTGCAAATGTTCTTTTGTTAAACAATGGCAACATTAACGGGATCTAAGCCAAGGTAACTCAAAGGTATTATGAGAGAGGTGAACCTGCCCTGGGAACTTACCCAAGGAAACAGTGATAGCATTCTTCTTTGATGTCATTTTGGATCATCCTCATGGTATTCAATGCAGATTTTTGCCAGAAAATATTGATTACAGTGGAGTTTTTGTGAGACCACATTTGTTTTGTAGCTCTGCTCTGGTACAGATTATATGGTATCCACGGGTATGAACTCCATTAAGTCTTCCACGGGTATGAGCACTCGGTGTGTGTGCTGTCTTGCAGTCTTGCTGATGAGGGGGAACTATTCAGTTAGCTATGTTTGGCTGCGAATTCAACTCATTAATATGGTTTTGGAGATAATTTTCTCTGGTATGCTCCACGTGGATAGCAGCATTCCAACCACAACCTGACAGTCCTCAGATCATTGGATGCTAACTTGGTATGCTTTTTCTGTCCAAAGTAACAGTGAATTCTCTGTTCTAAACATGTACTATCAATGTTGTCTGTATTTAAGTCATTCAAATTGTGGACAACTGTGGGGTAAATTTTACTGAGATTTGCACAGATAGATAATTTTCTCTCTTTTTTTCATTTGGTCAATAGAAGTAAGTTTGTCTACACTGTTACAATTTCCAATGCAAGGTTAACTATGAGGTTTTTGTTCCGAGGTAGCAGTATGTATCAGATATTCAGAGCAGTTCTACTGCAACAGGGTTCAACAAACCTTATACAGAAACAGATGTAGAAAGTGTGTATCTGAAGAAAAAGGTGGCAGATATGGTTGTTGGTGCACATCTTTCACTGGCAGAAGCGATATTAAGTCACTGGCAGAAGCAATATCAGCAAGGTAACGAAAGGATTCTCAACTGTAAAGTGGTTAGACAAATTTGACAGATCGTTGGAAATTTGTGGAACGATCAATAAAAGAGTGGCATCACTGAGAGGAGATTTCCCAACCAAAGTTGACAATTCCTAGTAACACAATGTTATTCCACTTAAACAAGGTGAGATTATCTATCACTGGATCAAACTTAGAATGTAAGGTAAGCTTGCAGTTGTGACAAAGTGGAGCCTGGAAAATGACATCCAAATTGCCCCAAGATGCATCCTTGCATATAATAAAATGAAAACGTATGGTGTCATTGCATAATGAGATGAGCATATGAGCCTGATGTCTGCTCTGCAAACCACCTTACTCCCATGAATAGGGGCCAGTTGCAGTCAACGGCTCAATCATGTTTAGTGACCAATCTAGCAGCTTGCTATGCCTATTGCATAGAGACATGTTAGGTAGCATCTCAACACAAAATTTGGAAGCACCTAATAGGTAGTATTAGGCGTATATTTCTTCATGCATTAGGATCTCCAACGGAGCATTTCTGCTATTAGCTACTCTGTTTCTCAAAGATATTCATTCATTGCCTTTATCCCTTTAATTTTCTCTTAATTAAGGTATATATAACTGATTAGCAGGTTCACTATAGCTACTAGATTCTGGCATCCTGTTCATGATTAACCTCTAACGTACTCTCACACTGTAGGCTGTAGCACCATTAGTACACTGCAATACGGATCATCAAATAATTAGTGTCGTAAAGTGTACTCGCTGATGATCTCGACATTTGTTGTTGTAAGCAGTGTCCTTTTCGTGACAGCTGGTGTCCTTTTTATTTTTATTTTTCCTATTAAGGGGAACAGCTGTTTTCTTCATCATCCTCTAAAAAGGACATGGCAACTAATTAGGTCTACCAGACAACGTGAACAAGCGAGAAATCTCTATTTGCAAGTTGTTATTACTAATCTTACCACCCTTAGAATTAATTAATAAGCATGTGCTTTGTCCTCTTCTGGGCATACTGTCACTCACTGATGACACTTCTGAGCAGACTGGCACCGATAACAGGAGCGAGCAAACGGTGATCGGTAGAATAAGCTGCTGGAGGAGGTGTAAAACCAAACCCATGTGCCCGTGCCTGGCATGTTCATTCAATCATTCTTGGCACTTGCTGAACACAAAATTTGCTGTAAAAACTAGAATTGCTACAGACCTACAGTTAGCATCCGATCTAAAGGCCGTGTTTAGTTGCAAATTTTTTCTTCCAACTTTCAATTTTTCCATCACATCAAAATTTTCCTACATACATAAACTTTCAACTTTTCCGTCACATCATTTCAATTTCAACCAAACTTTCAATTTTGACGTGAACTAAACACACCTTAAGTTCTTAACGCTCATGATACGGATTGGACAGCCACAGCAGCTATTGCACAAAGAAACCATTTGGCGATCTCTGCATGTTGAGGTAGAAAAAAGAAGTGAACCTTCCAGTGTTGCCAGCTTGAGTCATTTCTGCATCTCAAAGCAAGGCGCTAAAGGAGCATCTATACTCCACCGCAGTTCACAGCCATATTGCCACGACAGCGTCCAGTTCTCTTCTCTACACCATTTTTGTCCTCTTGGGATGCAGCGTTGAGTTATGCATATATTGACAACTGATCACTGGGTGGGGCATTCACGAGAGCCGTGAAAAATATCAGCGATGTCGGCAGGCGAACGCAACGCAACCCCTCCTGGGCCATTTTTTCTCTGGCTCCAGTCCAGATTGCGTGCTTAGCCAGCGGCAGCGCGCACCGGTTGATTGGGTGGTGGGTGGGTTGCGCCTTTCAATCCGATGCGGAAGCACCAGATCGATCGGTTTGCGTTGCGATCCGTTTTTCTTTTTTTCCCTCAGCCGCTACGGCGGCGCGGCGTCTACTCGCCGTGAATGGATTGCTTCTTTTTTGCCATAAATTCAAGGGTGGTGAGTGGTGACATGTCTGTTTGTTGCGGTGGTCGCGCTGCGCCCACAGCAGGAAAACGGTCATAGCAGTCCTACGAAAAGGATTCTCAGTTGAAAAAAAAATGCATATTTAGGTTTTGTTTGGCTAGATGTTGAGTTCAGAGTTCTTATCCATGTTAGATTTCAATTGAAGGGATTTAGACTAATATGTCTTAATAGAAAAAAAAGAATCGAAATGGTTCATTCAAATGTTATTAATGTAATTCTAAATCTCGATATCGTTTTAAAAAGTCTTAGATATAGAGTTGGACTAAATGAGATCACAGTTTAATTATTTAAGTAGCGATTGCGATACACCAAAGAAGTTAAAAGAAATTATATTGGCTAAAATAGAAAAGGATACTACTACTTCTACAAAAACGATGTTCAATTGGTCCCTCTATTGGTGGAGAAACATCTTTAGCCGGTCAGCCAAAATTCACAATAGTCCCAATTACAATAAAAACCGGGACTAAAGATATCTTTACTTTTGAACAGGGACTAAAGATATCTTTACTTTTGAACCAAAAGGTTAGAGTTTTTTTTTTATCTTTAGTCCCGGTAAAAGATCTATTTTTAGTCTCGGTTGGTAACACCAACCGGAATAAAAAGATCGGCATGCGCAACATAGGTGGTGGAGAGTACTAGGCCAGATCGAGGAAGAGGAGGAGCGGTTAATATATTATATCTCCTCATTGTCCTTATCTCTTCCTCCTCCCATATTTCTTCCTCTTTCTCCTCCTCTCCTTTTAACTTCTCTCCTCTAACTCCTATCCTCCTTTTCCTCTTTCTCCTCTAACTTCCAAGCGCCGGCTGGCGGAGGGCCTGGTGGCCGGCGGCCTTGCGGCGGCGCGGAGGCCCGGGCGGCGTGGCGGAGGGCCGCGCGGCGGCCGGCGCGGCAGCGGCAACGCCTTTTTTTTTCTTCTTTTTAGAATTTGTGATTCGGATCTATGTATTTGAATTGTGTGTGATGTGAATGTGATGTATCTCTGATGAATTTTGTAAAAGTTGTGATGTATCTGATGTATCGATTTGGGGAGTTGAGGATTTGAGTATTTAGGGATAATTTATTTGGGATTTTGGAATGGGGATGGGGTGAAATCAATATATTAAAAACAATGAAGAAAATAAAAAAATAATGGAGCAATCGGATCTAGCTAGCCTAGTTCTATCTTTAGTCCCGGTTAGTGTTATTAACCGAGACTAAAAATAGATTTTTATTTCTGGTTTTTTCACCCAGTACTAAAGATAGTGATCTTTGCTCCTAGATTGATAGTCCCGGTTTTTAAACCGGAACTAAGGGTTACGAACCGGGAGCAAAGCCCCTTTCTCCACCAGTGCTCGGCAGCAACAGCGGAACGTGAGGCGGCGGCCCCTGTGCGGTTGCATTTGCCATTGCATCGGTCACACGACACGACGCCCTCTCTTACACCGGTCACATGTCGGGACTCTGATCGGATCCTGCGTTTCCGGAGCATTCAGATCTCGGTGCGTCGTCTCGTCTGCTTTGTGTGGTCCGTCCGGGCGGCGTCAGTGCACAGGGCAAAAACAAGGGACACAACTCGCATCTAGGGAGTCTAGAGGCTATCATGATTAATAGCTTGCCGGAGCCGGAGCACAGACCGATCTCGCTGCTTGATAATAAGGGCATATTTGGTACAGTTTCAACTCCTAAATATAACTCCAGGAGTTGAGTTTGGAGTGGAGTTGTGAAGCTGCCTAAACCCAGCTTCACAACTCTAGTACATTTTGTGAGAGAGCTCCATCTAACTCCTTTTTCAATTTTAGTGGAGCTGAAACTGTTTGGCTAAGCTCAGCTCTGGAAAATACCAAACAAACCTTAAAAGTGATGACGGCGGTGGATCCGGAAACGGAGACGAAAATGACCGGGCGTCCCATGTTCCGTATACTGTCCAGACTCATTTAGTATGCTCAAACAGTGCACTAATTATCAATCAGACAGTACTGTATTCTAACACTTATTAAGATCGATCGCAAGATTAGGCCGAATGCCATGTGCTCCATGCAAGCGTAACGTGGACATGGCCTTGAGGCCTTGAAGAAATGCTAGCTTTTGTTTACAGTAGCAGTGCACTGAACAGTGGCATTCCGTATAAGGTTGTTGCTTAATTCACTCGCTCGACATTAATGCCGTGGCCTTATTAAGCAGTGTTTGACCACGTACTAAACCTATCATCAAGCGTTGAGCAAGTACTTGCAGTTTTTAATATTGACCACCGGCAAAAAAACCATCAAATCCTCTGCTGGAGTGGAATCAAGAATTTAGCTCTAGAAATTGGGTCTGAAGTGGAGTTGTGGAGCTACATAAACTCAGCTCTATCTCTTTAGTTCATTTTATGAGAGAGTTTCACACAGCTCCACTCTTATTTTAGGTGGAGCTGAAACTGTCTGGCTGAGCTCCAACTCCAGAAGAGATAGAGCTGAAGTTGTGCCAAACAGACCCTTATTCAACCGCTCCGTTTGCCGCGTGCAATTGCATAGAGCCAGGCAGGCATGATGAACCATATGGAGGAGTATTGAAGTGAGGTGTACGCAGTGGTGAGCTGCCAGCAAATCAGTAGCTGACCTGCTTTTTTTCTTCCTTTTTTTTGCATCGTCCATGCATGTGAGCTGCTCGTGGCCTGCTTGTCACGGGAGACCCCGAGCTACATGGGGGAAGGCTGCAGATTTGCCACATGCTGCGTCGTCGCCGGATCATCACACTTCACACAGTTTTCACAAGCAACGACGCAGAGACGAGATGCCTGCACTAAACATCACGCAAAGGCAGGAGGAAGACGACGGTGACTCGATCGGTGATCCGAGAGCGCCAAGCTCCACGTACTGCTGTGCCATTGCCCATTGCTAGGATGTTATTGTGCTAGTGTCGCACATCAGATCAGATAAGGAAACTCTGCAATCGACTACACCATGCCTTTAGTGATAAAGGTCTTGTTCTTTTCTCTAACAAAAAGTTGAATAAAGATAAAGATTTCCGTGCCACGTTTTTCAATATGAAATGGTGTGTTTCGTGCGAAAACTTTCTATGTGAAAGTTGCTTCTAAAATATCATATTAATCTATTTTTCAATTTTGTAATAATTAAAACTTAATCAATCATATGTTAATATCATCTCTTTTTACGTAAAAAAACTTATTTTTTATCTTAATCTTTATCTTTAGGAGAAAAGAACACCACTAAAATCGCGGTGCAGTGGATTGCAGAAATTTTATTGGGTCTTCGCCATACCAAGTAAACTTGCTACTCACTGACAGGCGGTGGCTCAATCCGTATGAATCGTGAGCTATTAGCAGTAACTGTACAGCGAAGGACGTGAAAATGGAGACGATGAGATCCTGCTTTTGTGGCCGGCCTTCCACATGGCCCTATGCACATGGCCGTCACGGTAAGATGGAGAACGCATTTGACAATTTGTACTGCTTAATACTCCCAATTGCTAGTGTTTGGATTCATTCGATTCCTGTGGCAGGCTGGCAGCGCATGACACTGTCGCCGGCCGATAAATATATAAACTTTGGAGTTGGAGGGACTTGATCTACTTCTGAATGGTCAGTTATGTTGCTTGACTGCGATGATTAAGCCAAATGGATGCTTCTTCTATTCCCTGTATCCATCGCCATGTTTGTCACTTCGGAGTGGATGAATATGCCCTTGAACGAAAAGACCAATCTAACCTCTTTATTGTTTGCTCCTCGATAGGCAGGCTTATTATATATCTTATTCACCGAGGACATAATGAAAAGCCACAAGTAAATATATAAAGCTTTACGTACTCATATTTGACTCTAATTTTAAGTAGCTGATACGTAGGTCCGATATTTAACGGGTTCATAGGTTAGTGACCCATATCAAAGGATAGTGCTATACAAAAGACCCATCATGTAACTACCCATAAAGAGAGACAAAATGAAGTTTTTAAGGGTGT